TCAGACTGCACCTACTCTAGTAAAGAACAAGGCTGAGAGCCTGCCCACTAGTGAGGGGATCAACTCCTCACTCTGCTCACACTAAGGACAAGGCTGTGACTATCAGCTGGGGCAGACAGTACATAGCTCAACAGCAGGTTTTTAAAGAGAGCAAAGTCTTCATCCTCCCATGTGAAAAACAATTATAATATGGTTCAGCTGACCGCCAAGGACTGGGTTATATCCCACTATTCTCTGAAACTCAATACTGTCTTTGAACGTTTTGGAATCTCATAATCTTTTCTGTCTAAATGTATGCTGTTACTATCATGGCTAAAAGTTGCAGGGAGCAGTCTCTTTCTTTCACCTGTGTTTCCAATTCTTTCTGGTTTCCTATACTATGACACCGTGTTAAACAGAATTTACAAATCTTTCAGTTAGGTTGCACTCGCTGTTACAGATTGGTTTTTACCATTTACAAGAACACCCTGGGAGTGCACTAAAATTCATCGCATTTTCTGTTTAAAAAATAAGAAGTCACAATTTTATGAATCATCATGTGTTTGAAAGCCACACTACTTTTAATAGTTACTGCGCTGCTCAACATATTTTAAATGCCCATTCATGTGTCTTCTCTAACATTCGCAGGTTTGTGCCGTTATACACAAGGGGTAAAAGAAATGATCAAGAGAATCAATATACGAATGGCTGAAAAAACAATAAAGATCCCAGCAGTTGTTTAGGACAAAACAGAGCTGGGTGAGCCCAACTACCGAAGCAGGAATCATTAACATGCCACAAGCGGATTTGCTCCAAATGGTTCTTAAATATCAAAAAAATGTACAATTTATGTATAGGCAAAAGAAAAATAATTAACTATTATTTTTTGAGACAGGGTCTCACTCTGTTGCCCGTGCTGGAGTGCAGTGATGCAATAATGGCTCAATGCAGCCTTGAACTCCCAGGCTCAAGAGATCCTCCCTTCTCAGCCTCCTGAGTAGCTGGGAATGCCCAAATGCACACCTGGAAAGGAGGTGAAAACTTATTTATATTTCAATGTAATTCTTTGTGAAGAAGAAAAAATAAAGGCACTAGGAATGTAATGCCTAAATAGTAAAGTATGTTTTCACGGAAAATCACCGGCAGCTGGAAAGAATGTCTGTGTGCAGAATATTTAGGTCCTGTTTTCCAAGAGTAGCGAGAGCACTGGACACAGCTCACCTCAACCCACAGGCAAGGCAGGACCCAAGCCACAGCCTTAAATGTATTCATTTGCTAAAAGAAAATAAACAGTTCTCTTCTTCCCATAAACTTAAATTTCATTTTATCATTAAATAATTTCCAGCCAGATGTGGTGGCTCATGCCTGAAATTCCAGCACTTTGGGAGGCCGAGGCAGGCAGATCATAAGGTCAGGAGTTTCAGACCAGCCTGGCCAAAGAGGCCAGCCTGGTCAACATGGTGAAACCTCATCTCTACTTAAAATACAAAAATTAGCCAGACATCTAATCCCAGTGCCTGTAATCCCAGCTACTTGGGAGGCTGAGGCAGGAGAATTGCTTGAACCCAGGAGGCGGAGGTTGCAGTGAGCCGAGATCATGCCACTGCACTCCAGCTTGGGTGACAGAGCAAGACTTCAACTCAACTAATCATCATCATCGCCATATCTGAGCCCTGATTAATATATCATTTGTGAACTTGATGTCTGCTTTGATTTCAGCTTTCCTGAATTGTTAGAAAAATGCAAAGTTTCTTACATTAGGCCTGACTGTCAAGTGAGGGAGACGGTGTGGAAACGTTTTTCATGGAAGGTCCTGCTGGTCTCACAGGTAGCATTTAGGATGACATGTGTGCTCAGGCAAGAGCGGTTTTGTACCTTCTCTCTCACTGGGAAATTATGAATATGACAAGGAGCTTCTGCCAGCATAGCCAGTGCTTCCTGCATTTGCAGTATAGGGCCTCTGACCCCTGTCACGGGGAAACATTCTTTCTTCTGCTTTCCTAAAATTGTCTCCAACACCAGGGATTTGACAGCATTGAATCATTGAATTCTGTCTCTGCTGAAAGGATGGCTTATTTCCCTTATTTCCTTGTATTCTGGTTAACCTATGAAGTGTTCCTACAAGAAGCAAATATGGGAATGGTAAAATGGTGAGGAGGTGTTTTGTTCTTTTTTAAGTGGGACAGGGTCTTGCTCTGTTGCCCAGGCTGGAGTGTGGTGGCATGATCATAGCTCATGGCAGCCTCAGCCTGTGCCATTACAGCCAGCTAATTTTTAAATATTTTTTGTAGAAACAGGGTCTTACTATGTGGCTTACACTGGACTCGAACTCCTGGCCTCAAGCAATCCTCTTGCCTTGCCCTCTCAAAGTGCTGGGGTTATAGGCATGAGTCACCATGTTAGGCCAGTAAGCAATTTTGATAATAGGAGAAGGGAAATCAAAGGAAATTCAAGAAAAATGATAAAAATAAGCCATATAGCATTAGTGCTATTACAAAGGTTAAAGAAACTAACTTCAAACAGTGGATGATTTAGAAAGGGGAAAACTGTTACATAAAGAATTTCTCTAATATCTCAAATTCCACCCCATCCTACTGTCTATCCCTTTTTCCTCTGTTTATTCATGTTTTAAGTATCTACAATTGGTATAATCCATAAAGACACATATTTTAAACCTCAAAGCTTTTCTCATATCAACAGGAAATTTGTAATGCAGACAGAAAGATGTATGATATATACAGATTCAACATACAAAAGTTATTCTTCAAAACCAAGTGACAATGCATAATTTAAATACTTTGGTGCTTTCATTTTTATTTATTTATTTATTTTTGAGATGCAGTTTTGCTCTTGTTGCCCAGGCTGGAGTGCAATGACACAGTCTTGGCTTACTGCAACCTCTGCCTCCCAGGTTCAAGTGATTCTCCTGCCTCAGCCTCCCAAGTAGCTGGGATTACCGGCACCCACCATCATGCCCAGCTAATTTCTGTATTTTTAGTAGAGACAGGGACCTTGTTGGCGAGGCTGGTCTTGAACTCCTGACCTCAAGTGATCCGCCTGCCTCAGCCTCCCAAAGTGCTGGGATTATAGGAATGAGCTACTGCACCCAGCCTCTGGTGCTTTTTAAAGACATATTTCTATTTAAGTCAAAACTTGATTTTTCCTTCAGCTTAATTTGCTGTAGCATTTGTTCTTTTGTACCTAGTGGGAATGGGTTCCCACTGGTACATCTCCAGTAGTCACTGTGATAAATCAGACATTTCCCTGCCAAGTAAAGGAAAACTAGTGAGGAGAGCTTGGTATTTTAAATGGTCAAATATCAATGACAACCTGACAATCTCACTGCTAAATATTGTTAAACAAAACACCTTGACTATACTTTATGTCCTAGCAAGATCTATGATGCAACGTAGCTCTGAATGTATCTCTTCTCTTTAAGATTATATATTTTTGCTCTAAGTCTTACTTACATTTTTGGAGTAACAATTTTAACTGGGCAAAACAGAGTTTTATAAAACTTCTCACTGGCATATTATATCCCCAGTCGTCACTATGATAAACTAGACAACATTGGCTGCCAAGTAAAGCCAATAAAGTATTAAACTGTGAATGCAGGTTCTAAAGTACATTTTGTTTAAATTTATTTAATAAAATTTGAATCTATTAAGCATTTACTTGAGCACACCAATATTTACTTTTCCTGGAATAACGATCATTTATGGCTATTCTAGGACCAAAGTTTAAATCCACTTCTAATTATTTCAAAAGTCAAGACCAAAAAGGTTATAACAGTATCTTTTCCAAGTTCCCCCGTTTTCAGCTGTGTGTGGTGGTGTTGTAGCAAAACTCCAGCTTAAGAAGACAAACAGACCAATGGAGACGGAAGAGAACTTTGTTTCGGACGCCTGGGCGTCCAGGTGGGCAGCAGGCGCAGCCCAAAATGGCCGCCGACCCCCAACAAAGTGGGCAGTTTAGCTCATATGCTGTTTGAGGCGGGAAATCAAGGCAGGAAGTGGATTTCAGACAAAGACAGTCAATCAAGTTTTACAACCTTGGGCTTCGTGGTCATTTGACTCTATAGCTTGCAGCTGAGGTGGGAGTGGAAAGGTGGGGGTGGTCATCCAGGGAGGTCAGAAGAACAGGAAATGCAGGAATGTGCCAGCAGCAGCCCTGAAGATGCGCTCTGGTACTCTTACCTGTGTAAAGAGAGGGCGTGCCCAGTCTGCTTTGCCTTTACTTTTAGTTAACTCCTGCCTACGTTATGCTTATTATTTGAACTATATTCTGTTCTATTTCATTTCATTTTATTTTCCTTCCACAGTGGTGCATACCTGTAGTCCTGGCTACTCAGGAGACTGAGGCAAAGGGATTCCTTGAGCCCAGGAGTTCGAGGTGGCGGTGAGCTGTGACTGCAGCACTGTACTCCAGCCTGGGTGACAGAGTGAGAACCTAACTCTTAAAAACCACCAACAATCAAGTTCCCCCATTTTCATTAAATAAAGGCAAAAGTTGAAGTTAATGCTATGAAAACTGAGTGAGGCTCTGTTATTTATGTAAAATTTATATTATTAAATGGCAAAACCTTAAGCAATACTGCATTACCATTCAGTTTTTATAAGCATTTCACATGTTTTTTAAAATATGTTAATAGTAACTTTCGTCACAATTTTCAAAAGGTGAAAACCACCCAGCAGATGACTGAATTTAAAAATTGTGGTAGACACATACAATGAAATATAATTTAGCCATAAAGAATGAGGTTCTGATACCCCTTACAACACGGGTGCACCTTGAAAACATTTTAAAGAGGCGGAACCTGCTCTGCTGGGCCCCATGGCCACAAAAGAACTTTCTTTCTCCCGCCCAAACGGAGTGGGCGCAGCGGACAACTGCCTCGCCCACCTGGCAGCCTAACCCACCCTCTCTTCTCTCTGGCTTCGCACGGCCCTGCCTCCCTCTTGCCCAGCGGCATCCGCTTGCTGCTGCCACCGCCTCCTCATCTCCTGCCCAGCCAACCGGACTGCCCCGCTGCAGTGATGTGTGACAAGGAGTTCATGTGGGCCCTGAAAAACGGAGACTTGGATGAGGTGAAAGACTGTGGCCAAGGGAGATGATGTCAACCGGACACTAGAAGGTGGAAGGAAGCCTCTTCATTACGCAGCAGACTGTGGGCAGCTTGAAATTCTAGAATTTCTGCTGCTAAAAGGAGCAGATATTAATGCTCCAGATAAACATCATATTACTCCTCTGCTGTCTGCTGTCTATGAGGGTCATGTTTCTTGTGTGAAATTGCTTCTGTCAAAAGGTGCTGATAAGACTGTGAAAGGCCCAGATGGACTGACCGCCTTTGAAGCCACTGACAACCAGGCAATCAAAGCTCTTCTCCAGTGATGGATGGACGGACTGATAACTTGGGAAGAATGACTCTTCTGTGGCCTCACACTGCTCCCTGTCTGTCTGTCACTCTCTTATCTGCCAGCTTCTTCAGCTAAATACTTTAAGAGGGGTGAGGGGAGAGAGAAATTCATAACAAATCAGTCTACCAGGAAAAAAACAAAACAAAACCATGTTTTGGAGGAGGGGCTAAAGAATCATGATCAGGCTTTTACTGGGATTCCTGATCAAGTAAGCCTCTTTTCCCTTTCTAATAAAATGTACACCTTATACCCAAGGGAGAGCAAAGACAAAATACACCAGTAACATTTGACCTTTTCAGCTCCCTAGCTAATATATTAATTAGATTGTGTTGAAGGTCTGATTCTACACAGGCCAACTCTACATATTTGGTAGCCCTAACTGTGTGAGCAGTAGTGGCTGCTGTGATGTAAAGTTAGGGTGCTGAGATAAGCACTTAGCTCTTCTGCCTTAAGAATGCACTCTACTGGGGATTTCCTGGCATAGGTAAGAGCGCTGCCTATAAGGTTGGTGACCAAATCTTTCCTCAGTGACTTTAAGCTTTATGTGGAAGCTTAGTTAAGGTAAGGAGGGGCACACTCCTAAATTGCTGGATGACTGAACTTTGGACTTTCTCTCCCCTTTCACATGGATTTCATGTCTCTTTAGATACAGCTGACTAGTTTTATTTATAAAATCTTAAGTTTGGGAAGTCTAAAGGAGAAAGCATTCCAGTATGCATATTTTTTTTCTCCTCTAGATTCTTACATTTATATAGCATTGAAACACTTTCAAACTCCTGCTGGTAGTAAAAGGGGATTTAAAAATAGAATCATAGCCATAAGGCTGTTAGTATCATATAAAGAGAGAACAGTTATCTTAGTACCTATGGATTTTCTTTATTAGCTGTTTGAATGGATTGACCTCGGTTATGTGTGGAGAATTAAAGAACATTCTTTAGAATGCCTCTCTCAGACCCATCTTGAATGCTGATTACTTATTGCACCAAAGCTATCACTGGGGTGAGATTTACTGTTTGGACAAAGTTAGCCCCATCCCTTCAAAAATACACTTGTAACCAGGTTTCCCAGAGTTGTTGATAGGCGTCTGCTGAACATATGCCAACCCACCTGCATAATATTTTTTGTCGCTTTTATGAATCGCATAAAGTGTGATGACTTCAAGATGTATTCTCTGTTCTTAGAATACAGTGCCCTAAAATGGTGTTCTTATGACCTGCAGATATTTACACATATTTCCAAATATTTATTTCATGAGCAGTACAGCTAACTAACATATATAAGCTTAAATTTTATATCTTGCATTTGAAATATTGATTCCTTTGACTTGCCATCCATATAAGCTTACTAAAAAAGAGTTTTTCTTAGCCAAGTCATACAATAATTGAATATACCTCAAATTTTGAGAGAGGGGAGGGTGGGTTAGGGCCTGATATTCAGATTGTGGATAATAATTGATTTTTAAAGGCAACATAGCATTCTACAGCAGGGTTAAACTATTATCAAGAACAGTCACCCTGGTTAATAAGTTTTACTGATGAGTTGCTGATTGGTTGGCTGGCATGTGGTTGTGTGGGTGGGTGTGTAGGTGTGTATGGGTGTGTGTATTTTTCCCCATGAGCCCTTTTTTTAATCCTGTGGCTTTTTCACTTACAACTAGCCTAACCCTGTAATTTTCCTACATCCAAGAAAACAATCACAAAGTAGTGGTTTAAATACGTTGTCATATTTGGCTAATTTTGCTGTCTTAATGCAGCCTATTAGGAGTTGGGTTAAAAGTCAGTAATCAGTACTTTATTACATCACTGAACTAAAATATGGAGACATCCTCATTGAAAATGGAGGTCACTTTATCAGTCTATAACTATCAACGTAATGCAACAGGGCGTTTTGATACCTCTGTTTTCACCTCTTGACATAATGCTATTTAAAGGCTTGAATTTTCCTCTTTACATAATTTTCACCATTGCTTTCAAAGTGTTTTGTTGTAGTTGGCTATTGCAGAGAGTGCACTGTCCTATCATTCCTAAACCTGGTCTGCTTTCTACAGTCATGGTATGGAAACCATGTGATTCTTTGTACAGTTTATCCTGATGTTCCTTGTAATGCAGTAGAGGCTGTTTCGCCTTCCCTCTTCTTTCTCAGCCTTTTTGTAAACCCCATAATTATGAAGCGATTGCTTGAGGAAATAACATATAAACATAGAATTGAATAGACTGACCAAGATGGTTCACAGTTTCTTTTTTAACTAGGTTATTTATAATGTATTTCTGAGCCACTTGGCAGACAAATTCACAACACTTAATGTTCATATTTTGAGTAAAGGAAGCTAAAACCATGTTTGCTTTTTGGTACTACACGCATTAGCAAAAAGTTAAGTAAGTTTTGCTCTCCACTGAAGTAATACTTAACATCTCATTAAAAAAGTTTGCATGTTCTGTAGTTTTGTATTAAATCAGTCATTTCATATGCACTATATCAAGTACAAACAGGTAATTTACCTGTTTATAGTAGTGTACTAGCAAGTTCTCCCTTGCAGCTGCAGACTGCCATCTATAGGCTTATAGTTCAAATACAGCACTTGAATATCCTAAGTAGTTCCTCTACGCATAGCTCACCTTTTTAAACCCAGTTAAGCATGGAGGAGAGGTAGTAGGTAGGTGCCGTGTGTGGAAGCTGCAAACAAGTAGACCTTTTATTCATTGATTTATTTTCCCAAGTAATGGATTTTAAATCTACATTTATCTATTTGATTTTTTTCTAAAATTTCAATTGAGCTGCTGTTTTCTTCCATGCAATATTGTATACTCAATTGTGTATAGAAGAAGCTGGTGAGAGTGCCCTCCTACATAAATAAGCAATTGCAGTGTTTTGCATGCAAAATATAAAAAAATTAAATTGTCCTGATTCTATTTTGTAAATGGAGAAACAATCATATCTTTCTAAGCAGTAATGGCGGAAGACTAGTGCTTTGTGCATTTTGATACTTTTGAGTTCATTTTTTCCACAATGTCATACTTTTGACGCAATTGGGTTTCTTTCTCATAAGTATCCTAGTTCATGTACATCCGAATGCTAAATAATATTGTGTTTAAGTTTTGTGTTGCAAGAACAAATGGTATTAACTTGAATTGTGCTACAAAAAAAAAAAGAAAACATTTTAATATATTTACTGATATTTGCATAGCTAATTTGTTTTTCTTTGCACAACCAGGATTTTTTTCCTAATGTTTCTGCCATAATTAAGGAACAGGGAAAAGAGAGAAGTGGGTTTACGACAATAGCTAAACCTCCCAACCCACACAACGGTCTCCTTTACAAGTAGACACTCTACTCCACAACGCACTTTTTGCCTATGCCAAGTGTGGAGGTGCTTCCAGAATTTTCTCCCCTCATGTGCCATGAGATGAGGCAAGGTTGAAGGCTGGTGTTGCTCTCCAATGTGCACAGCTAAAAAAGCCCTGCTTGGGCATGGGCTGGGTAACTCTGGCGCCACTTCTCTGTTTCATGCAGAGATGACACGAGCGACTTCCCAGCTGACAATGCATGAAGGGCAACTGTGGGTAACTATGCACACGGATATCAGCTTTTATATGACTTAAGTGACACATTATTTAGGAGGAGAAATAGTTTCCATAGATAAGATAATATCTCTTATTTCAAAGTAAATTGATTAAAAATGTAACTTATTCATCTAGAGAAGGAAAGGACTCCTGGCAACAAGCAACACAGTTTTATATCAAATACATAAAAATGATCAAAATCTTATGGAAGAAAGGTATCTTAATTTTAACCACCAAAATTTAACTTTTCTGATATATATTTTGGGCTATACTGAAAAAATAAACCAATGCTAATAAAATGACAGTTGCAGGGAATGCTGTTGAGTTTCATGTTTGTGGTTTGAACACTGAAAGGCCCCACCTTGTTATGGCCATATTTTTGCCTCACTCTTCTTGTTCTTATGCTGAGGACACTCACCTTTTAGGGAGAGAGCAACTGAAAGGTATTCCTCGCAGAAGGAGCTCACGTAGAACAGTAAGCTGGGGGATAGTGGTTCAGCAGCTCAGTGTGGCCGTCTCTCAGGTCAGCATGAGCTCCTCAGGAAATAAAGCTGCAAAGAAGCTGGAGTTCTTACTGAAGATGTAACTGTACCGTTCTTGAAAACTGTAGATCATCGAGGTGCCCATTCCAGAGTACGCCAAAATCTCTGGAATGACACACAGTTTGGTTATGTTAGGAATACGTGGGCCGGGCGCAGTGGCTCACGCCTATAATCCCAGCACTTGGGGAGGCCAAGGCGGGCAGATCATGAGGTCAAGAGATTGAGACCATCCTGGCCAACATGGTGAAACCCCATCTCTACTAAAAAAATACAAAAATTAGCTGGGTGTGGTGGCACGCGCCTGTAGTCCCAGCTACTCGGGAGGCTGAGGCAGGAGAATTGCTTGAACACGGGAGGCAGAGGTTGCAGTGAGCCAAGATCATGCCACTGCACTCTGGCCTGGCACCTGGTGACAAAAAGAGACTGTCTTAAAAAAAAAAAAAAAAAAAAAAAAAAAAAAAGGAATACATCTGTGCCAGACTCTTGCTTTATGTATATTTTAAAGTAGCTCTAATCCTTAAATATCTCAAGAGAAAATAACTGTCGCATTTTTGATGTTTTTTAAAACTTTTAAAAGAGTTTTATCTTTTTCTTCAATTTAATTTTATTTATTTTTAATTTTTTTGAGATGGAGTCTCCCTCTGTCGCCAGGCTGGAGTGCAGTGGTACAATCTTGGCTCACAGCAACCTCCGACTCCCTGGTTCAAACAATTCTCGTGTCTCAACCTCCCGAGTAGCTGTGATTACAGGCATGAGCCACCATACCCGGCTAATTTTTGTATTTTTAGTAGAGATGGGGTTTCACCATGCTGGCTAGGATGGTCTCGATCCCTATGATCCACCCGCCTTGGCCTCCCAAAGTGCTGGGATTATAGGCGTGAGCCACCACGACTGGCCAATTTTAAAGATTTTTAAAGAGGAATATAAAATATAAATAACTAAACTCCCTCATATTCCCAGGACCCAGAATTGATTAACAATTAACATCCTATTATTGCCCCCAAAATGCTTCATCTTTGATTTGCATAAAAGTGAATCTCCAGAA